GATTTGTGTCAAAGCGAGCGTCTGTTCTTTTCAAGAAATAAGCGTACAGAGTCAAAAGAATCTCTGACATTTTTCTCCATAGAAATGTAATTTATTAAATGCTGAAGAAAAGTCGCTACAGGATCATGTTTATAGATGTGAAAACCATCAAAGAAATTACAATGCAGAGAGATTATTATTTAAAAATCGGTTTTAATAAGGAATACATCCCCCCCCCCCAACTAATTATCAAGAAATTTGCAATTATTAATTTTATCTAAGACAGTAGTCTATATATATGAGCATGTTCAAGAATTTTTTCGGGAGGGGTTATCAGTTTTATTATCAGATAAGCAGCAATTTTTTGCATCAATAAATTGCTTTTTTGACATTTTAGAACTTGGAATGTCTACTTTTTATTTCTCATTTTGGAATGAATGAGAAAAATATCAGGTTTTGTTGATCATAACTTTTAATCTTAAATTTCTAGAGGGAAGGGTTGAATCCCTAAACCTTCTGAATACGCCCATGCAATAGTCTATAACTTTTGACATACCATAAATTCTAAATATGACAGTTATTGTGCATATAAGTCTGTTTTCAAACGTTACGAAGTAGGTGTGTTGGAAAATGCGCGTTTAAAGTCGGCTTACGTCTCATTCACGTCGTAATGTCGGCGGCACGGAAAACTCGTCGGAATTTTATGGAAACGTGCATCGTCTGTCGCGCAGAGAGAATCGTCTGTCGACTCTCGGAATTCCATTCCGATTTCTAAAGTATACCGCTAGCGAGTATCGAGAGAAGGAATGTTTCCATCATTTCGATCGCGTATGCATATAACGCGGATTGCTCTTTCGTTCTCTCTTCCCCTTTTTCCCGTAAGGAAGAAAAAAGAGAAATACAGTCACGCGGCATCTGGCGCACCGTCGCATCGGTTTAACGCCAAAACCCGCTAAAATATTCTAAAATATTCCCGAGCGAACTTTCTCGGCTTCGCGAGGGCGGAGGCGTGCGTAATAGGCATCCGGTCCAACTACGCGACGTTACGGCACGGAATTTGGCATAGTTCACGAGAGGATACATTCCAAATACTGAATCGACCGGTGAGGCAGAGATGTAATTTCAAATTTTCTAAGAGGGGTTGAATTAACATCGAGAGGCGTGGAAAACGCGAGAGTGCGGATGAAGCATAGACTGTGCATTACTATGAAGTTGTTAGTTTAGAAAGAGTGAGGTAGTTTGGTTGCTATCGATTTCTCTCCTTTTCTCCTCTTTCTAAAACATCTAGTTGAAGAGAGAGAGACTGATACAATTAACCCTTTATAGACAGGCGAATCCATTTTTGAGTCTCTCTTTTTTATTTTATGAACTCCTCATTTGATTTTTATGAATCTTGGGCTATAGACAATTTGATAATGCTTTATTCGAATCTGAGATCAGAAATAAAAAATTTTTAATGTTGAATCCAATATGGCGGATAGAATTTTTTTTAAATAATCCGATTATTACACATACGTACAGTCGGTCATAGAAAGGTTCCAACGCTTCTTTTTTCGATGGGTTTCGGAATGCAGCCTATCGAGCTATTGGTTCTTATTTGTGGATCCATGGATAAGAACCAATCACTCGGTGAGCAAGCTGCATCCCGAAACGCATCGAAAAAATTATGTTGCAACCTTTCTGTGACCGGCTGTACATACACAACTTAGTTTTAGGAAATGTTTAATTGCAAAGAAGCAGTAACGTCAAGTTTCCAGTTTTGCTTTATTTGAAGTTCATCTGCAGTACTATGCAAATAGTTACTACTGATTTCCAAACTGATCTCCAAACTTTGATTATGAGCTATGTTTACTAGATCTTCTTTCATTGATTTTATCCTGTTGAAATTTGACATTTTTAGTTACATTCAAACCAAGCGATATCAAAAACTTCCTAAAACTGAGTTTCACGATAATCAGATTATTTTTTTTAAATTTGAATGGAATTCTGATGTCAGTGTCGTTCCGACTCTTAGAAAATAAGGTCTTCTTTAAGTTTCTTTATTAAAAAACTCCTATCCTCAAAAGGTTTATATACTGCATCGTCTTTCCAACGGAGCACAGGTGCTAGAATCAGGAAAAGTGCAGTCTATGCCTACTATGGTTAGGGGATGGAGTCTTATAGAGAAAAATTCTAACTAGTATACTAGTGCGCGATGGACATCGATTTTCTGCTAGGATGTTGTCAATTAGTACTTTACCGTCCATTACTGAAACATCAGAATCCGACATGGATGAAAATAACTCGAAATGAAGTACAAATGCAGATGCGTTCGCTATTCACGCAAATTGTCCGTTGATTTTTTCTCGCGGATGGCACTCTAAATAAGACAAAGAGCATACGCTATGCCGGAGTAGCGCGCCGTTGTAGACCGTAAACTGGGGCAATTTGCTGGACCGACGGCTACAGCATTAAAGTACATAGCGAGGGCCGCAGTAAAAAGAGAGAGAAAAAAGCAAACGGCCTGCAATTCACAGGCAAAAATACCGTATCGACTTATCATTTATACTTCCAACATGGTGCACCGCGTCCGTTTCCGCTTTCAATACTGTATTCAGGACGCACATGTTTGCATGGTTACACAGAATATCTCCATAAGGGATGGAATATGTACTCGTTTGTGCTTTCAATCGCGGACTCGACAAATCAGAGAGTTTTATAAAAAGTTATTAAAATGCGTTACGTCAAGCTTAGTCATGAGACAAATGTGTGACAGTTATTGATTTCTTTTTGTCTCTCTCTTTTTGTGTTACTTATTTTATTTGATTAAAATTTTGCCGAAATCTCTGACTAATATACTTTCGTCATACGCAAAATAAATAGTTTCCTACAGTTGTATAGGGTGACAAAAAAGTTTGACCACAAAGTTTTGTATGTTTATCAAATTATTACCTATTTAAATTGACCTTATTTGTCGTTATTCATTTTGATGTCATTTTGACATAAGATGACGTTAAAAACGTCATTTTGAATGTCAAATAGCTGCTTGGAACGTATATTTAAGAAAAACGCTCTGAAGTGTTAGTTACATTGCATCTTATTAAATACCAAAAAGACTGCACCAAAAGATTTTTATCGGTTGGTGAACTGAAGACCGTTCTATTGAGAGACTTCATTCATGGAAATATATGCGTAGTCATCATTCCTGAAACGTCTAAAAGTTGTCACTTTGAATGTTAATTATTATTTTTGGTATTCAATAAAATATTCAATATAACTAACAGATTTGTTTTTTGTAAATTTACGTCAATAATGATTTAAATATAAAATTTTTGGCTAAACTTTTTTGTCACCTGTATTTTAAAAATAAATTCGTTTTCCTCAGTAGTTCTGTACAAATTTCTCAGTAAAGGGAGACAACTAATATAATCTACAATGCGGATTTATCTTAATTATGCGTACTTATATTTGAATTTACATGCATTAATGTTATACACCATATATTGCAGTAATAAAAAATAAGATTTGAGTCTTTAATGTTTTTTCACAATAGAATCAGTCTTTTTACAATAAAATATATTGCTCCATTTAATACAATATTTTAGTAAAAATAATTACAATTTTTGAAAAATGGAGTTATGTAATTCTTCATTGAATAGACGATGTGTAGAGATATATCAACGTCACACGCTAGCGAAAATTAGTTACGCATGTCGTTGTTTTAACGTCGTGTAATCCATTTTGTTCTTTTTTTATGAAGCACAAGCGATGAAGATAAAACGTGTCTGAAAATATTCTCAGCGTGCGATTGTCGAGATAATTCACGTTACCAGAGAAAATTTGTACTTCAACTTTAATGGCGCCCGTGATGGAAGATATTTCTTCCACAGAAAGCTTCTTTGACATTTCAAATTTTATCTTCGCGTTTGTCATTCACGTCTCAACGGTTTACATTTGAATGGTCATTTCATAGCTACGCCACGAACGCCAACCATATTAGAAATAGCGAATACTCCTTTCTTTATGGATCATTCGCGCTTGGCGTGTGCACGATAGGAAACGGAAATTAAATGAGGATCGTTCGGACCTGTCTGTATAACGGAAATGAAAATCTGGAAAATCTGGTGTGAATGGAAGAAGAGGAAGCGGCTTTTGAGATGGGCAGAGAAATGGTATGAGTGAGGAATCAAGCAGGGAAAAATGTTGATTATTAATATTTCACACAATGTACGTTCAGAGGAATAATTTCCTGAAAAATTACTCATTTACGTGTTTCAATTAAGCATTTGAATGCAGTGAACAATATCATTTTCAAAAGCTTGATTTACAACATTCATGTAACAGATAGAAATTTTTATTTTTTTCGTGTGTTACATTTTATTATAGTACGATTAACAGCCATATTTGAATATAATATTCGATTTGTACTGTTTCAAATAGCGTACTGTTAGTGAAGTACAACGCGAGCATACAAATCTTCTTTTATGATATTATTTTTAACTATATGTATTCAATAAGAACAAAAAGGATGTAACTGACAAAATTGGTCACATGGCAATTATTTTTCATCAGCAAAAAAATAAATAACACATATACTTCTAATCGAGTGAAACATTTATATACAGGGTGGCTACTAAGTACTCTAAAAAATTTTAAAGGATGATTCCTTAAATTCAAAACAAAAACTTTTATTTACCATCATATGTCCGAAATATTTTAGTTTTAAAGATACAGGGTGTTAAAGTTGAAAGAAAAATTTTGAAAATTATTAAAGTTATTTTGACATTGAATTTTAGCAAGTTTTAAAGTAATCCGAGTGGTTTTTGAAATTTTTGGAAAAAATTTTTCCTTCAATTTTGACACCTTATCTCTGTAAAACTAAGCTATTTCGCGGATATGTATAGTCATATGAAATTTTCGTCTTGAATTTGTGTGAGAAATCACCCCTTAAAATCTTTTACACTACTCAATAATATTTACCCTACATAAATAAACCAAAATAAATTATACACATATTATTAGGCAAACTGTGTGACACTTACCGTTCCAGCTCCAGGATCGGTAATTTTGCACGGTAGAACTGCCGTGGTACCACTTTGAGCAAGCACCTCTCCAATTGGTCCTTCAAGAACATCTTCATTTTTACCCTCCGGGGCATTCAATGAGGCGATTGCATTATTGGCACTTGAGTTCTGCTGATGCTTCGCCTGGCTTACTGCGAACATAAATTACAACAACACTTCTTGAAGATAGGAACCACTTTGCTCGATCCAAGTAACATCTGTGAATGACGCGTCGTATAACAAATTAATATTAGTAACAATTTTTCACGTCAAATTATAAATCTGAAAATTGCTTTTACATAATTGTAACATTTTGTTGAACAAGTATATTTGTTATTAAAACAAAATTAGATCTAAAGATTGTACGCGTATTACGATATCTAGAATGCTCATAAATTTTTATAATAAACAAGAAAATCGAAGTATTTATAATTATCTATAAATGAAAAGTCTTCTATTTCTCTACACAATTATAAAACGAGTTGCAGAGTGGATTCTTTTATAAATGCTGTATGTTATGTGCTTCATTACAATAACGATTGTAAAAAATTTATCCAGAATTTACAATAATTATAAAAATAGGAACTTTGTATAAATCTGTTCATTAATGCCTTTTTCTTTAAATTCTCACATCTTAACACAGATTGTAGCAAAATGTGTAGGATCGATTAATTAAAGTCTCTCAGAAGATTCAATTAAATGAAAATTACGAGAATGCTACAGCAAAATGTAAGAAATCACACCATGTATTTTCTCACACGGGAAAGATTCGCGTCCATAATATCTGTCTCTCCAAGGACTGTTAGTTCTAAGGTCGACTATGATCAAGGATTAAGGATGATTTTCATGGTTGATGAAGGGCGCGGCACAGGGATTGCGAGAGACGACAAAGCACCCTCCTGCTTGGAGATTAATGCAGCCACCGTCGCGACGATAACGCATAACCCGAGCATCGCCCGAGTGGCTTAAGTGAATAACTTAGTCATGGCAATTACGACGGTTTGGCCAGGCGTTTACCGATGCCCAAGACGCGCCAAACCGCGGCGAATTTCCATGGATATTCAGCCGGAAACTTTCTCGCTCGTTGTGCTTCGCATCCCGTTTACCTCTAGCGATCGTTCGCTTGTCCCTAGCTGCGCACATCTCAGACTTTTCTGACAATAAAAAAAGGAGATTTTACCCATAAGCGTCTTGCGCGAGAACTCCAGGCAATAAATATCCGGAAAGTTTCTATTTCTGTTCAACGAGTTGTAAGCCCAAGCTCGAAACTTGACGCTTCGCGCCGACGATGCAAGGTTCGCTTTTAAAACGTTGCGATATACACGCTGTGTGACGTGTACACGTTTATAGCATATATTCGTTTATTTCAAGTTCTTCTTACATTGCAATATGTGAAACTATTACTTTTACTTAAATTCTCTATTAAACAATAAATAATATATATAAACATACTATATTCATAAGATGATAACTTAGAACAAATATAAATAGAATAAGAAGTAATCTAAAAAATTTATATTTTATTAATAGTAATTTCAATTAATTTTCGTACTTTGTAAAAATGAATCAGTATATTGTTACTGACTTCAGTGCTACACTTACAATTGATGCAATCATCAGCGAATATTTACTGTTTTTCAATAATACACTGATTTACTTTTAGAGGTTATGATTTTCTGTAGATTCAATCTGTAGAAACCGTAACTTCTACAAATGAATTAATGTATTATTACTGAAAAACAGTAAATATTCGCTGATATTACAGTTATAAGCGTAGCACTCTGAAGTCAGTAATAATACATTAATTCACTCTTACAGAGTAATATAATGAACGATGAATTTAACTCCTTTTTTATGCATGCTGGAAAAAGCTAGATCGAAGCATAGAATCTTTGTGCAAGAGCGTATTCGGCATTTGTCATTAATAATACAAGAGACAGGTCACTCTCTCGATGTTGATCAGCGTACCGCGTATCTCACTTGAATTTTCTCGTCGAAATGAATTAACACCATTGCCACCGTCAGCGTTCAGTATTTCAAAGTGATTATTCGCTAGAAATTCCTGCGGGAAAAATACTCGAATTCTTTATGACCGGAATAAAAAAGGAAAAAAGAGGCCATTAAACGAATGACACTCTAAGGGATTATTAGAGTAGTATTTCTACCGTGTAAAAAAATTATAGAAATTTTCATATTATGTGATAGAGAAACACATTATAATTTTAACAAAATATTAAATATTTAAGAAAAAATAATATATTTTAATTAAAACAAAATATTCTTACGTATAGAGAAAAATGTCGAAGTATTGCGAAACAAATGTTATTTACAAAATTTGATTGTGATGACGAAATATACATTTCTGTGAAATATATTTTATTTCTGTGAAATATATTTCATTTCTATGAAATATATCTCATTAATTGCAAAAAAAATAAAATAGATGGCTTATTTGCTAGGAATAAAATTTTATTTCGCCCGTATTTAGGAAATATAAATATTTATTTCAATAACATAAATATATATTTCTCACAAATATATTTTTAGGCATCTTTTTCTCAATATATTAAAGGTTTCTTGTTTTTTTATCTTATAGCACGCTAAATTTATGAATATGAAAAATAGCAATTAATGAAAAATATGCAATAAATGTCGACACTCCATAATAAAAATTTAAATATGAAATTTACTGTGCTAAAGTATTACTTTCACGTCCGTGTATCTAATTAAGTTGACTAATCGATTATTCAACATTCACAAACTCAATTTTTTATGACACATTCTCTTTCCATATGGATATCAAGAATGATCCATGAAAATATTAAATTGCGTGAAAAGAAATTATCATTAACAATGATTATACACGATAAAACAGGAAATAATTAGCGCGATATAAATACGTTAAATCTTTTGTCTGTCTTTAAAATCATAGACAAAGTAAAAGTTCAGGCGAATACAGTTTTCTAAATTGAATTTACCAATGATTAGTATTCGCACATAGTGGAAGATTAATCTGGCACAATTTCAGAAAGTTTGCCGAATCGAGAATCGTAAAACGGTCCGGTAATAGGGGCCGGTGTGCATTTAATTAAACTTTCAATTAGATCTAAAGCTTCGGAGGTGTTACGGCGATGACCTAAATTTTCCGAACGGCATCGTCTCGTTCGGGAATGAGACGTTCTACGAATTTGTTCGTTAGTATATATCCGCGTCGACAGTCTCGATGTCCCAAAGGAGCAAATCGTCGAGATGTAAGGACATCGACGAGTGATCGACATGATTTCGATGCGCTCATCGCGGCGTCGATAAGTTCAGCACTAACGAGGCGAAAGTAAGAGCTGCAGGTTTTCAGCAACGCGATAACCGGAAATTGCTTGTCAGCCATCGGATTAAGTGTTTTCCATTGCCGGCACGAAAATAACTTGCCTGAAGTACGGAAGAGTGTGGCGTGCCGCCGTCGAACGCCCGTGTTTCTTTAGGCAGCATCATTACCGTTGAAAATTGTATGCCGCCGTGAAGCGAATACCGATGAGAAGGAGCACAGAATTAGAAACAAAATTATTTAGGCTAGGAGAGCCGCTATACTTAAACACGCGATTTGCGAGAAGAAAACGTACGAGGTAGAAATACGAATGAACATGTCGTTTCCCGACAAAATTCTAATCCTATGAAATCTTCAGACCACATTTGCCTGACAAAATTAAATATTTAACATACGAAACAGTTAAAGAATTTTAAATAAAGTAGCAATGCACACTATTGGTATGCAACACAAAATTTAGAAACGCTAAAGAACAAATAGCGGTTTTTTTACAAAACTAGAACTTTCGTTGTTTTTTCTACGAATAATTAAAAAGATTGTTTTTTAAATTTTAAAAGAAACAACGTTCCATATTTTATGTAATTAATAATTAAACTTTTTTAAAGAAAACTATAACTCAATCTTTCAAATCTTTTAGCTTATTCAATAATTGTATATTCAAAGTATCATAATATCCATTTTTAGTACAACAGCATAACAAAATTATGCTTTTCCATTCAAACTTACCTGTGATGTATATGTGTATCTCGAGTAAGATAATTAGAAGCACGATCCAGAATGCCTTCATGATGATTACAAAATACTCGTGGCTCTCTCCTTTCCTCAGACATGCATCCCTTTCGGAACAGCTGAAATCCAAAAGAAAAATGGTTACTTTTTATTATTTTCAATACTCGTTCCTACGATTTTAATTAATTGTTTTACCATGTGAAAATCTAATACAATTGGAATCAATTTTTCTTTAAACAATCGTCTATTTTGGTCTTTCTTAAACAAATGAAAATTAAATTAAATTAATTACTTAATAGAAGAGCTGAAAAGTGAAATTCTGAAATAAGATTACAATTACAATATTGTCTTTTAAAGTATTCAATTTATGGTGTTTTATGCAGCTTCCGAAACTTAAACTTAATTGTGAAGTTTAGAATGTTAATTAAAGAATAGCAATAATTTTTTAGTAATGCACTGTGTGAAATATGTTGCACATCGTTTTATGATAAAGAATGTTGATTAATTTTATGTCGGACAGCGGTCCATGCGTTTCTTGCTTATTCATCATATATTTCCGTCAACTTCAAGCCAACATATTTTTCGATAGAAAAATGTACCAACAAGCTTGAAGAATTTAATATAAATAGAGCGCTGCGCCAACAGAAAATTTCAACTCCATTTTACGCGCGAAATAAACTAACGGCATTCTCACTTAAGTGATGCTAGCAGTTTGTAAAATGCGAATGTAAATATGATGTAGCAGCAAATTAATTTTTTGAAGGAAATAATATAGCAATTAAAGACGAATTATGCTAAAAGAAATATTTCTATTGTTCTTTACCGTGATATAATTTTTTCTTTGTAGAAACCTTATTTTAGTTGTGTAAAAAAAATTTTTTTTTATAAGTTCTTTATTTCAATACACTTGGTGCGTTCAATTTGCGAGGCCATATATACCTTTGAAAAAGGAAAAGTAAAAAAAAGGAATTACGACTGAAACGTAGGACGAGAGTACTACTGGATCGTGTTCCAAAACTACGCACAAGGTACCCCTTAACGTGGTATTAACTAGTTTTGTCGAATAAAAAGTGCTAACTTTTTTGCGAGTACGTGCAAGTTTTTCTTAAAACTACGCTTGCTAGCTTGCAGACGTAGCATTTTTGTTGAATCGAGTGAGATCGATAGGGACACGGATAACATTCTTTTGCCCTGGGCTCTTGTCCATTTCTGTTCCTTTGTTTCACACAACTCTTCTAATAATATTTTAATTCTTTTTCTTCATATAACGCATACGTTAAATATCGTGTAAAAAATAGAAAATGAAAAGAGCTACATATATGAAGGTTCAAGAACGTGGAATCAAACATACGTAGATATTCAAAGAATTGAGAAAAGGCAGTGAAGTAAAAAATTAAATTTTAATGCAAATTATAATAAGAAAATTTATTAATAATACGAGAATTTAGTAATCAAATATATGTAGATATTTAAAGAATTGAAAAAAGGCAAAATGAGGTAAAAAATTAAATTTTAATGTCAATTATAATAAGAAAATTTATTAATAATACGAGAATTTAGAAAATGGAAGACTCGAAGAATGATAAATTAATTTGTTAATTATATTAAAATTTTAAAAATAACAAAATATTATATTTATATTCTAAAAAGCATTCAGATCTTAACTGATTTTTATTCTATATGAGAACTAAGAGTGTGGGGATGTTGAGCATTTCCTGGGAATCCATGGAGGAACAAATATGGAAACAAGATTCTTCAAAATGCAGATTCGCGATCATGTAGAAGATGCGCCGGCGAAAACCTCAAGAGTATTCGACGAATTCCCGAGACAAAGCAATGGTTGAACGAGTGTGATAATATTTCGCCGAGAAAAGCTGAAGATCTTGTCAGTCTGATAAATATTCGGCCTGAATATTATTCGTACCGCGATTTGCCGCAGTCTCTTGGGATCGGCGAAGTAAGAGCATTCCGAGGTAGTTCAGGTATATTCGCATAATTGCCGACCAGGGATCCCCCTTTTGTATATAACGAAAAGATACAAAGTTGTCCGTCAAAAAAACGAATACGATATCGGCTTCGCATACCGAAATAGAAACCGAAAACCACGATTGCCATTAAGATTTCCGACTACTCGTTGTTCCGTCTGTTGGTATCGATTCTTGTAACAAACGTGACCGTAGCTTTTATAAGAAATACGTTTGACATAAATCTGATACAGAATGTACCTCTTGTTAAGATTCTGACATCATTATATAACAGAATACTAAATAGTTTTATGTATTGACAACAGTGCTCTATATGCAGTTCTATGTTTGGAACTATTTCTTTAGACGAAAATTATTTCTAAAAGAAAAAGAAATTATTTTAACTTCTTTTTTACGAATTGGAATTATTTCGAATCCGTTACAATTTTGTAGCCATGAAATTTTATATTCTAGAGATATTGAGTGATACATTATTGCTATATCGATACTTAAATTTTATGTAGATGGAAATATGCCACTTTTAATCAATGTAACATAAATTTTCACAACTGCACACTTTTAATGGTAAAATATTTATAAAATCTAGATCTTTCTAAACACAATTAACCTAATTATTAAAAGAAAAGAAAGAATAAATAGACTATTAAATCTTGAAGGGTTCCTACAGACGAGCGACTTTGTAGCGCCACAATCGAAAGCGCTGACCCATTTATACGCAGCTATTCTGTGGCGCTATAGAAAAGTGTCGCGAATATGTTCATATGGGCCACTTGCGTGGCGCGACAAGAAGCGTCACCCATCTGAACGCATTCGCAATTCTTTTTATCGCGCTATGTAGTGGCCCATATAAACATATTCGCGATATTTTTCTGTAACACCACAGAATAGCTCTGTATGAACTGGTCGGCGCATTCAATTGTGGCGCTACAAAGTCGTTCGTCTGTAGATGCCCGAAATGACATAAAGTGTAGATATAGTCCAATATGTCTCCTTATAACTTATTAATATATAAATATATACATATAATATCAAGCAGCTTAAAAATTGAAATAATTTGTCACGTTCTCTGTTATAATACTGACCTTCAAAATGATATATGTATATATAATGATTCGAATTTTTAAAAGCTCATTTGCACTTTTTTTAGTACATAATTTACCTTTTAGTGATAGATTGAACTTCCTGATGATCACTGAATACTAATTGGCTTAGCGCTCAATGATTTTGCTCACTTGTACGTAAAATTCATCTATGGAAAGAGTTCCACAGTAAAGATAATTTATAAAAGTTACTTAATATTGCATACAGCAATCATAGAGAACCTCCCTTTTAAAAATAATGTAAAAGATTTTTTTCATTTACAAATATCTTTATGTATAAGTTATAATTATCTTTGAAAAATTTATATACTTCTGTTAGAAATGTATGTAATCTTTTATAAATATATGTAATGCATTATTTCTAATTAAAAAATTATTTAAAAATAGTTTAGGATAAATATATGATAAACTGACTTTTTGGTTGGTATTTTATATACTTAAACGTTTAATTAACATTTTATATAATGAGAAGTTGTCGATACTCAGCGCTAAGTCTGTATTAGATTTGCGAAAATTGAATTTTCTCTCATTTATGAGGGATATTTGATATTCGTGTTTTTCTTCTGCCACGGTAGACTCGCGATACGTTACTCTTCTCATAGGTTGTGATTCGGCCATTTGTAGGCCAACCACGAGCGCCATATGTTTCCAACCGGCGTATATGTTAAAATTTTCAAAGCAAGCACCGCGCTCACGCTTTTTCCTACCAAGAACCGAGAAATATTTTGAAATTATCTATTTAGCTGAATTTTGCAATACCGTATCACCTAAAATTAACACGGTATAATATAATAATTACGCTACTTTTTCAGGAATGTGTTAAATAATTTATTAACTTTATGTATACAAATATTATAGCAGACAAATATCAAACAATTTCTTTACATTAATTATTATTTTATTTTGTATCCATATAATTTCATTTTTTTTAGTTAAAAGTTTTTGTAGATGCGAAATAAAATTATAATCTCTACTATTATATTAATAATTTTAATATAAATTGTCACAATTGTCCATTTATAGTCGTATTAATTATTTTCTTCTAATTATTCAATATACGTTCTTGCGGAATAGAAATTAAGGTAACTGTGAAACATGAAGACAAATGTTTTCCTTTTCTCATTCATAAAACTGCCTTAGTTTCAATGCCGAGTAGGAGACCACGTTCTACTCTCCCATGCGTGTTTTACTTACGACGTGCTACTCGCAGACAAATGACCGCATTATACACTTTATTTCCTGTCATACTAAGACGTCCATTATTTAGACGAGTTAGATTAACGATTGTGCTTGTGCCTAAAGCTATAATCGATAAAAGATTTATGGAACGCGCGACATCTTCCTCCTCCATGCCAAAGGGCCGGATTCGCAAAGGAAGTCACGCGAGCTCACGGCAGATGGAAAATCTTATAAATCTCTCGTCTAAAACAATCTTCCGTCTTGAAATAAGCGGCTTGTTTCCGCACTGGCATTTAAATATTTAACAGAACGTCCGAAGAAGCAATCGCGTGCTTCGGACGATCCAGTACTGCCCAACGTACCGTGCGTGATTATTCGAACTGGTCTGATGGCATTTACATGTAACGAGGCGTCAATCCTATACGATGACTAGTCAACAAAAATCGTAACGAATATCTGCTTTGCGCGTACACGTTTCGTGTCCGAGTTGATTTAAAGGAAATATCCGTCGTTAAAAATTACTTGGAATGTACATTAATTCTATTAAAATTCAGTGCGACTGAACGCATATGGATCTAAATTTTTCTGAAATTATGTCATAAGTTCTTATGTCAATTATATTGTAATTATGAAATGCTATGTATAAATGTTGTGTATAATTGCTGAAGTTATCATTTCATTTCTTTTCTAGATTAATACTATTAAGAAGCAAAAAATTTTAGTAGAACAAATCTACATATGGAATCTGCATATGAGGGAAATACATGTTCCTCTGAAAAATTGGGTGCCGGTAAAACGAGTTAGTTTTTACATAAATGTGGCTTGTAATGTGTTGAGCAAAAGATATCATAGACA